GGTGGGGTGGGGGGTGGGGGGTGGTGTTGGCCTTCCTCACACGGGCCATCACAGCCGAAGTCCAACTCCAGACAGAGTCTCAAGGTGCAGGTTTCTTCACCACCCCTACTGCAGTTAACAGATGGTCTCCTTTCACTCCAGCTAGCAAAGCTCATCCAGAAAGATCATAGCTGGGCAGGCGAAAACTCTTCTCTTGCACACTTGGGAATGAGATTCAGTTGCATTTTGTTGCAGAGTTTACGTTGTACAATGCAGCTGATTTATCTGTTTACCTGGTTTGTGTTGAGAGGTGAAGAGAAAGAAAAGGGAAAGCCTTCTAATCATGTCATCACAACAAGCCAACCACACAGGATTTAAAAAGCCAAAAATAGGTATCAGTAGAAACACATGCCACTGCTGCCCCACTGATCCTCTCTTATATCCTGTACCAAATTTGTCTGGACAAAATGCTGCATTGCATCACCTCACCAGACAGGAAGACTCTAAAAAATTAGGATTTTGCAGGATGAGCTTGCACAGAACGCGTGTGCAAAACCGCCCTCTGCTGTTTAGATTAAGACCTGCTCAAATAAATGATAGTATGACCAAATCAGTTTTCAGCTGCAAGGGTCCAAGCTGTAGAGGCAGAACTATCTGACTTCAGCTCTTTTCTGCCTCCATGCACAGCAGAAATTTCATACATGAAAGCCACTCATAACCATCTTGCAGCAGGGACCACCTGGACAGATTTGCAGGCTGGAGTGACATTGTGCTAGCTGCAACACCACTCCGCTCGGCAACTACTGCACAGCGGGTGTGCAGCAGTGGACATCCTCTCACCCCAAAGATGAGTGAAGAACACCCTCAGGGTGTCAGGGAAACGATGGTAATTGTGAGCCAGTGTTGCAGGAGGACATGCATCTGTCAACCCATTAAATCAAGGCCTGACCTTTACAAAGCAGGAACTGGAACTGTTATGTCTGGAGTCAAAAGCTTATAGCAGAGATGCCTTTAAGAGTTCATGATTACTAAGTTACAGCGGTGATTGGAAAACAGGGTAGTGACCTTATAAAAAGCTGTCCTGTAAATATTCTGCAAAACTAGCACCTGTAAGCCCCTACTGCAGGGAAAGTGAGAGCAGGGAAAATGAGAACATGGATATTCTTCCAAGAACGCACAGAAAACAGTGTACTTTTAAAAAGCTGCCCATTATCTAGTGCCAGTACGCTGGACAGTTTGGTACAGAACATCACAGAAGGGCCACCTGTTTTCTATGGCTTCACTCACACACTCATACACGGGGCATGGCAAATTCTGCCCTCCAAGAACAGCACCAGATGTCCACATCTTCTTTGGGAAGCTGTTTTGGTACAAATGCAGAAAACAAGCAGTGTTACCCGCACCAGAAGCTCAGTTGCAGTAGTGCCTCTGATGAAAGCTACCCCAGTCCTCATGAATTAAGCACAAGTTTCAGCTCTTTACAACAGGCTATTGGTGAGATTTGACTGCTGTGCCGCCAGGCTTTTTTTAGTCACTGCATAAAGGAGACCAGAAGCTATACTGGTCAGTGTAAGCACACAGATTAAAAACCAAACCAAGACTTGGGTACAATAGAAGCCTTGAAGAAATGGGGTTTTTTTCCCCACATCAGCCCTTTTCATATCCATAGGTTTAAAAATGCAGAAGCATGAATGTACAGTACAACATGCCTTTGAAACACTCACTAAAAGCACTTAAGCGACCACTTCAAAGATTCCCTTGAAGTTTAACTCATGTTAATTTTAACACAATGGTCATGCAGGGCCACTGTTCAGCCTAAGGGGCTTTAAACACACCATCAACAGATGGACAAACGAACCTTTAGAAAGATTTTTCTGGGTGCATAAATAGCTGGAACTTTACTTTAATGATGGCTGGCTGGCATCCTACACAGCAGGGCTTGGACTTCTCCGTTTTTCAAGTTAGGGGCAACAATAATATTCCGTCATCCCCCAGGGTAAGGAAATTAGTGCCAGATGACTCAGTGTGCACATGATCACTCCGGTTTTGGATCTGATTCCATTATCTAGAAAACTTAATGGTAAGACATCAAAGGTAGTCCTGCATGATCATGAAACTAGCTGGTTCGGGTTTTTTTTCTATAAAAGCTGCCTGAGAAGCTCGTAACTGATGACAGGAGACTCCCCAACACAAAACTAACAGACCTCTGATTTCCATTATGAGAAATCCTCTCAGTGCTGAAAACAAGTGTGTTGCTTTTGGAGCACCACAGAAGGGAAGATGGCTCTTTATGGGAGAAGGATTAGTATTTTTACCTGCAGTAAATTAAGAGTACAGATCTTATTCACCAAGAGCTGTTGAGTTTAGCAGCAGCAAATCCTCAACTGGAATGGCTCACTTCCACCTTTTTTTAATTTGCACAGGTGAAAAGAAATATGGCACTCTGCACAGCCATACTGCTACTACTGATGCAGTAACATCCATCATCACCATGGCACTTCCAATGACCCGCACTTTGCTTGTGCCTGAAACCAGTTCTATATTACAGCCTCCTACATCCGTGGGCAGTGTGTGCTAGCTACGCCAGTGTCAGCCTGCCATTGTTGGAGCAACAGCGAATTCCCATTCTACACAACACGTTCAAGTCTTCACATTCTGAAAGGTATTAGCTTCATCAGAAGATTTGGGGGGAAAAAAAATAGTCTTAAGCCTTGTTAAAAGGATTCATCATTCCCATCCCATTAGCCCAGGCACTCAAAACAGACATCAGCGCTTGCTCCAGCATACTAACCAGGTACTTCTGGGTTATCAAATATGAGAACAAATTGGTACTTAAGGCTTCAATTAAGCCTATGCTATCTAAAATCTTGGTTGCATTTAACTTCGCAGGATCAAGAAAACTAAAATGCTTACGGCAGTATGTATGTCTATGTTGTTTATTAAAGCAATGACCATTTGTAGACATAATCAGATTATCACCAAGTCTTCCATCAAAATCAGAAGAACTGACACCCAGGTTTGCTGAAACATATTTAGTTCAGGAGAGTTTTGCTGTAAGCTAAATTGTGAATTAAAATTGTCAGGACTATACCAAAGTGTGTAGACAATTGTTCAAGTTTGAAAGAAGGGTACCACTTTTGTCTTACGCTGTTTGGGTTTGTTTTTCAAGGCAGGGTGGAAGTTTGATTTACCTTAAGATGATGTGAAAAGCTGAACCAAAAAGATATTACACCGAAGCAACGACCACCAGCAAGGACAGCAGGCAAATACGCTAACAGGTCTGTCAGCATTACCTGTAAATTCTTACTTTTTACTTTTAAGGGTTGAAAGGAAAAGAAAAACTCGTCCAGAAAGTCTCACTGTACTCATTAAAAATAGAACCTTCTGCAATTTCACAGTATTTTCATGAAGTATTCTAGGTGCCCAATACCTTTGTCCCTACAAAATAAATTAAAAGAGCAAACCAGCCATTGTCACCCAAAGATTATGGCTAAAAGATTATGGCTACTAAGTTTTACTTTTACCTTACATTATTACCTTAACAATTCAAACACAACAAAAAGACTAAATGACAAGAAATTTTTGATTGTACCAGCCATTAACTTCAGTATTTGTTACATTACAGAAAGATTCAATAGCACCTAAAATCTTGGGAAATCATGTATTCAAGGGGTTAAGGGGGAAATATCTCTTCCATGGCAAACCATCTAAGCAGACTGACTCAGTAAGAGTCATTTCTACTCCCAAACTCAGGCATTTGACTGCTAGGTGACCACAAACTATCCACTTTGCCTCACACAGAATTTTTGAGAGGCTATCTCTGAAACGTTGAGACCTATGGTTTGGAAGAATCTGCCTTTACAGAAACTTACACCAGGCTGAAACGAGACAGACGGGATCGCTGGCTGAAGTGCTCTCAAGAGTATCTCACTTCTACTTGGACTATGCCACCTAGTACCTTCCTATTAATGTACTGGCATCATTAGCACAAATTATCAGCTGGTCTGACAGACAGACACCTCGAAGCATTCTCCTCCTTTCTTCTCCTTAAGTTAAAACAAGTGACAAAAAAAATAAAGCTACATTTTTAATTGTTTCTTCTGCCCTCTGAGTGGTGATAGCACAAAACCAGAGAACAGTAGAAGCCAACCTGTTTTGACATTTAGAACACCCTATCCACGGAAAACTTGCTTTCAGAAGTACGCTTCTGCTACTACTTGAGTCTGCATATTATTTGCCTCCTTTTCACTGGCAAAGGAAAAATTACCTAAATTCAAGTTTACAGTATCACACCACACCGAAATTTTACATCTTTTTAATTCCATTAGCTCTAGCTAGTTTAGCCTGGCGATATCATTGTCTTACCTCATCAGTGCAATTTTTGTTAAGGCAAATGCCCAAGACTTAAGAACCATTTTCTATGGTCTTGAAGACTAGAGACTGAAACGTCAATGGCTTCTCTTGCAAAAAGGTTTCAAGCTTTCCACAAAAAAAACGACACACCTCTGTGCTCTTACAACCTGCCCCAGGTTCTATTCCAAACAGCTTTATTTCAGACACCTGCATTAACAGAGCTTTCATGTCTGCCCAATAGTTTTGACCTGCATCACTTTAGATACTATTGCTCCTGACAGAAATGATTTGTCATTCTTTCTGCAGCCAGTCATCTGTTACCATTCTGATTTGCATCTCTTTCTGAGGTGATCAGTTACTGTTTAAGTGATCACATGTCTGTTTTCTCAGGAAATGACACAAGGTTTTAAACTTAATTAAAAGCATTGGAAGACCAGCCATAACATTAAAAATAAATTTTAATGTTAAGTCATTTTTAGATCATTTGCTCTGACATCCAAATGTTCTGAAATTTAAAGTAGTACTATAGGGACACACAAGTGCAGATAAATCTTTATTGCCATAACTTCCTTTTTTTTTTTTTTTTCAAAAATGAGCATTGGGTTTTTAATAGGTCGTAGTTTTATGTCTTTGTATGTACAACATTACAACTGCATATTTTAATAATAATGAAGTTAGTGATACTTTGATAACTCACCACAGTGTATTTATAAAATGAATTCTTATCAAAATACACTTTTCACTGGGATAATAAATAAAATCCTGTGAAACCCACCTACACAAAGTTAATTTTAACTCTGGTAGAACCCGATGTGGTACACAGTCCATTAACTACTATGTTTGCCCCTTTATCCCCCTACTGATGCTCATCTTCTGGGGTAAGAAAACATTTTTTCCCCCTGTTGTGGTGTGACCTCATTCAACATCATCTTCAGCCAAGCACTGTGCACTTACAATTCTCTGTAAGAAGGAGAAAAACTCATTCACAATTACATAAAATTGACAGTAGGCAACTGATTATCAAGCAATCTAATTTTACCCTGAACACTAAGCAGTGTAATTACTGAGCAAACAGATTAATGTTAAAAATGCTAATCTATTTGACATAAGTTTTTGAAGTCAGTTCCACAGAAATTACATCCTGTGCAATGCCTAAGAAAGACAAAGTCAGATAAATAATATCCTATCAGCCTCAAGCAATGACCTTTGTGTGGTTTTCAGCACTGTTCTTGAAGGAAACATTTTTGCTCCATTGCTCCCCAGACCTTTACATCTTGTGTACCTGACACTTTCCAGTGTTTTTACTAACTATGGACCTTAACCTGAAACAAACCAGGCCTGAGCTGTAAAGAGAGCTGACTGATGCACAGCACTGGGTCTCAGCTTTACGTGAGGTAACACCATTAGGGAGTACCCTTGCATTTCCAAGAACATAAAACATACTATTTATTTTACAATAGACTCACCTGCTAGCATATTACCAACATTACCTCCACAGTACTCAAGCTAAAAAGGGAGGGCATTTTACATACAGAGCTACAAACACTTTCATCATTAGAGAAACCCCCAAGCTTCCAAAACTGTCATGTGTCCTGGTGCTAGTTAACATTTGTGTTTATACCTGGCCCAGAAGCAACAGGCTAGCAAAAGCAACAGATTAATTCTAATGAGGCTTTTACAGCACTTAGAGACACTTGCAGATATAGAATTTAAAAAACCAAAACAAAACGCTTAAAAAACAAGAACAAAACCCAAACCAAACAAAACCAAACACAAACCCCAACAAAAAAAAACCAAAACAAAACCAACCAACCACAAACCAAAACCCAAGACCTAGTGCAAGAAAGTTACCATCTTCTGATCCCCCAAATTGTATTTGGGAAACAGTGGCTCCGCTTATAGTATCAGAGCTGTGGTCAGATGTCTCTAGAAGAGCTTAGCATACCCTACCCATGAGACAAGTTTTCTATTTCTATTTTACCCTGTTTGCTATTAATGCTACACGATACTTCTCGTATACACTTTTTAATGTTTCAGCTTATTTTAATCTAACTCAATTTATACAAAAAACATATTACAAAAACCAACACTTGAGACTGATGTAGTGGATGAGAGTAGTTGTTCAATTCTTTTCAAAGCAAAACAGCAGGGAACATTTCACATACCTGGCTTATTGTAGGGAGCTTAGTTAGAAGCATTTGAAACACTGGTGGTGGAAGAGTCTGCTGTAGAACTTGTAGTAGCTGCTGCGGCTGTCCACACACAGCAATGGCATTGGTCAAGTGATCAACACCCTTCTCATATTCACCTGTGTGACAAATCATAATGTTTTGAAATCAACCTTCTTCCACACTGTAAAGTACATAAAGCATCCATCAACAGTGGATTAAATTACTGAGAATCAATCCACACTTTTCTTTCCTACTCCTTTGCTGGATCTTCTGAACACACGTTACGAACAAGTAAACAGATTTTCCTAGGTGAATCTGACTCCCCAGAAGAGCTTACTATATAAAAATCACCTTCTAGCAAAGGTAAAGAAAAATTATTTTACAACTTACCCTTCAAAGAAAAAAACTATGCTATTACCTTGAGCTAGTAGTTCCTCGCCAAGCTGAATTTCCTCAAGGAAAAACTTCTGAACTGCTTCAGCATCTTTCAGATCAGGCAACTGTAACACACAGAGCAAAACAGAAGCTGGCCCTTCAACATCAGTTAATAAACACGTTAGCAGAAAACGTTCTCAGCTGAAATCAAACACACACATAATATTGTTACACTGAAACTGGCAAAAAAAAAAAAAAAAAAAGCGTGTCACCACTAAGCTAAACGTACACAGAATGTTCAGGTCTCATATTGTTGCATCACAAATCTGTAGAGACAGAGCCTGGAACACCTCTACTCAGTTTATTAAGTACACAATTTTGAAGCAAATATAAAGTCTAAGGCGTGTTACGTTCATCAGAAGTATACTTCTCACAATTGGTTAAGATAAATCTATCTTTTCTTCCAAGATCCACTGGCGATAAGGAAAGAGAAATCAAATAGCAAAAAAGTACCAAGTTCAGTTATATGTGTATCCCATCAATGATTTTTAAGTCTGAAAAGTCCTTGCACACACTACAAGGAGGAAAACACCGTCAAATCACACAGCGAATGTTGTACTTTCTTGTACAAGGCCTCCATCTGGCACAAAAAAGGAACAATCATTTCATATATTTATTTGTGAGCATTAAAAAAAACAAAGACTGCATATTTGCAGAAGTGTTTCTAAACTGGAATCACAACAGATCTTTAAACAAATCTTACAAATGAAACATCTTTCAAAATAGCACTGCATTACTGAACACAGCATTACCTTGGAAAGCCCTGCTCTCTCTTTGGCAAGCTTCTGTTTCTTCCTTCCTGTAAGAATAAAAACATCTTACATTTTTAATTTGCAATTAAGAAAGCCTTCAGATTATAGTTCAAAATCACAAAGAAATCAAAGTTATTTTCCAAACAAGAAACTGGTAATATATTCCAAATATTGAAGACTGAACACAAGACTGCAACCCACTCACTCTGCAACAGCATATCATTTAGAGGCCTAACGAGGGCTGGCAGCAGCACGCCAACTCAAAATGGCAACTCTTCTCCTGCTGGCTGTGGCAAACACCAACTGTGCTGGGCCTGCAGCAGAGCGTACCTCATGCACTACAGGCATGAAGAAGGAAAAAGAATTAAGAGTAATACAGGATTTCTCTACATGATTTCTAACAATGATATCAAGTCTATCTAATTTTGAACTATACAGTGCACCACCAACAGAACTTTAGCAGGTCACAGTACCCAAGCATACTTTCCCAGCTGCTTTTTAGCAAAGACTTGGGAACACATTAAATAGGTGGCAGCATCTCATCATCCCACAGCAAGAGCGGTACTAAAGCATACACTTCTGCAATCTGAGGAAAGCAAACATCTACAGACTGAACAAACATTTACAGGTTTAATTGCCCAACCTAAAGGCATAAAGCTGATCTGCAACATAAAGTTGTACCCCTCCAGCAAAACCAGCGTAATTAAAATGACATATAGCTTGCTCTTAATGCGATTAGGCAGGTATAAAGATATTTTATAGTGGCAGCTATTCACATAAGAAAGAATAATTATAGTAATATCGGTGATTTCCTTAGAGTAATCATTTTTGTAAGTAATCAGTTCTTCAACTGACATAGCTACACCATATAACTTTTAAATACAGCCTATGGTTAAACAACTGCGGTCGTACTATTTGTCCTCAGTGTCTGCTCGGTGAACATCTATGTTGACAAAGAACAACTGTCACACAGCCCTGAATTTTCTTTTGAGACAATTTTACAAGCTGGAAATATCTCCAAATATGACTAGCTGTTTTAACAGCAATGAGTTAAAATTGTCCACATTACGGAGACATTCAAGAATACGATTTCCTAGTAGTGATAATGTAACATTTGGAATTAATGGACAAGGTAAGTGTTCTTCATATAAAGGGAGCTCACATTCTAACTATCACCCTTTTACTTTCTACAATACCTCAATAACCCTTAGCACTTGAATTTCTACAACTTGTTGACCTGTGTATGTTATTTTAGAACATCACATACAGAAAAGCGTGTCATGTAGAATGGTACCACACTGTAGTTTTATCATTACGGTTGTTTTCAATATTAAAGGAGAATTTCTCTCTTCAAAGTTGGTGCCTTCAATTAGCTCACTCCAAGTTTTCTGAAGCATTAATTTGCAGAAAACTTTAAACTGCACTACTATGCAAACCAGTTTTGTTAATACATAAAATCTTAAAGATAAAATAAAAATGGAAAAAAGTGGTATCTGAAATGTTTCACTATCAAAACAAGGCACATTGCAACTACAGTGCATTCAGTGAAAGCATCAATGAAAAGTACAAAGAGTAACAGTTTAACATTTGTACATCATTTTCAGGAGAAAACTGAGTTTTCTTGGTGTGACTATGACGTCTTCTAAAATACTACAACAGGTATCACTCACCAGGTTAAGCATTCAGAGATAAAGAATAAAAGACATGCTGGTTACAGTAACTATTTAATAAAAGCTTTTGACCACTGATCACACACCTAAGAAATTATATATTTTAACCTGACAATAGTAAAGGAATGCGAAGATTTTAAACTGAACAATGATTTACAGAATCTTTCAAGTCTGATTACTATACAATTATTCTTCCTCTTCTTAATACATTTTTACAGGTCTCTTTAGAAGTCCACTACCTAAAACAATTACAAAACATGTGGCTCTAACGGATATTCGGGAATTCTTCCCATACTGGTTGGTAACAGTAGTTTGCTTTAAAATATCTTTGCAACAACAGCCAAAAGTTACATTTGTACTCTGACAAGGAAAAAGCAATGGCCTTGGGTGGGGAGGAATAAATTCTTGTTTTTGCTCAGGGACCTCCAAGAAAACAAAAAACTTCCCTCTTTTCTAAAGACGTCATCACACTTAAAAAGGGGAAGGGCAGACTTTCATAGAAGGAATCTTAGTTAACAGAGAAACGGACATGCATCCATCCAAAGCAGAAAGCTAAACTGCAGCTCCCAAACTGCATGTGACTCGCAGGTCCTTCAGGCACAGCTCTTGCACATAGGGAGTAAGTTTCCAAGGCGAACCAACGGGTAGCCTGTTGCGCTGGCAGGGGTTGCCAAAAGTCCCCAGGTTGCCCCAGCAGCTTCATGTCCCGTCCCACAAAGGAGTGGAATGACCAAAAACCCGTCTGCCTCTTCAGCTCCCACCCGTGAGGCCTTCCTGCTGCTCCCCTCTCACTAGCTGTCCAGGCAGAAGGTGCTCAGAGTCAAAGTTCAGCAG